TTTGTGCAATAAAAACACCCGTAATGAATAAACTCAAGGTGTGTTTGTTTAACGTCATACTGTGGGACATTCCAGGCAAAGCAATAACATCGCCTTGGAGACAAGAAAATGACAGACCCTCCACCAGAAAAGTTGCGCAGTGCACCTTTAACAATATTGTGCATTTAGAAATTAGAATATGTTTTTAGGGTTCATCCAGGTTTAGGCTTCACTATAATATTTTCCTCAGCGCTATATCATGCTTCAAAATGTGTTATTGTGACAGGCCCAAGCTATAATATAATTTAACTGGTTCAGTTTTGCAAGCAGACGGTTATTTTTCCACAGATATATCTACAATATTGTACTCTATAAAAATACCATCACTACTCTCCGACGATATAAAGTCATCACAGCATGGTAATATCTTGTCTTATTTTATTGCTGTAATTCAAACCAAACAGCTGAGCCCCTCTCGATGCCTGGCCGAGCAGCAAGAACGAAAGGAATGGTGCAAACAACGGCATTGGAACAGGCCTTGGATGTCTCCCCATTTTCACACATACTAACTCTTCGCTGGGAATTCTGGGTAGTCCTTCGAGGTGTATCATGTAACTGAGAAAACGGCTTGAAAACGCATTGCCCCATCCTAAAAAGTCCCCAACCGACTAAATGACTATTATTATTTTTGCAAAGGGGGACAAAAAAATCCTAAAATCCTTACAGGATCAAAGCATTGCATAACTTCTTTTCTTCATTGACCATTTTGTAGGAGTCTTTTGTAGCGCTAAATGCCAATTACTGAAGCTAATCTATTCAGACGTTAACCTTTTAACCTTAACTATTGGGGAAACACAATAGGTAGCGGAGAGAAAGAGGAGGAGTGTGGAAAGAGGTAAGCCGTGCACGGGCTAAATACAGGTCTAGGAGTCATTAAGAGGGCTTATCCCACATGGAGACAGCTAGGTAGAGGACGCTATCTTGGATACAGGCGAGGAGGGAGAGGGCAGTCCCAGGAGGCAAACATGCAAGAGTGCACTATACGTCACTGGGTAATGGCTGTTTTGGTGTGGAGGTAGTTGGACTGATGACAAAGCAGCGAGCACAGGGAGAGTTGGAAAAGTGAGTGAGATATGTGGGCCTGTGGATATTGCATTGTATTGTAAAAATGTGCAAAAAAATTGATTTGAAATTAGCTGTTCAAGTGTGCTAGGAACTATAGGTATAGGGTGACCAGACGTCCTTATTTACCCACAGGACAGTCCCAGTTTTGAGCCCTGTCCCAGCCATGGATCTACTGGATAGAGTATTGCTGCTTGTAGCTGCCTCCAGTTGACTTAGTGGCCACTTGGTGGTACTACAGCAAAAAAAATCCCCTGTGCTGGGACAGGATTTTTCTCATAGAGTGCAATGTAATCATAAACTGCTTGTGTGCAGCTGACAGAGCACCTAAAACTTTGAAAAATGTTGGATTTTGGGGCGATTTTACCTATTTTTAGATCATAAATTTTTTCTCAGCTCAAAATCCTTCAGTTGTCTTAAAAAATACTTTATAATCATTAGCTCCGGCTACACTCTGCTCCCCTCTAACTCCTCTTGCTCTGATTGGTCAAAGCGATCATGTGATACACGAGACCAGGCTCAGTGCATGTGCCGGAATGCATTGGTGTGTGCCCGCGGGAGAAAAGTGCACTCCTGCACATCCTCAATGCCACCGGAAGTACCTAGCCGGGCTAAAGGCGAATCTGGAATCATGTGCCCATTGACTTGAATGGGCGGCCATTTTAGACCCTGGGGCTTGGTCCAAGCAGATTTATCCAAAACCAGTGATTTGTCCCAGTTTTATACAAGAAATACCCCAGATGTCCCTATTTTTGACCAATTTGATCTAAACCAGGTCAAAACCAGGACTAAACAAAGACTAAACCAGGACTACATCAGGTCTAAACCAGGACTAAAACAGGACTATCACAATTTTTAACTAATACGATCCCTGCCAACAGTAAAGAGGAGCATAAATTGTCATTTGTTTTGCCAAAATACAGAAATCTGTGTTTGCGAATGACCAGAAAGCAAAAAAAAAATAAAATGCAGCAACAGAAATTCCTCAGATTATGACTGACATGAGAATCCACAATGTTACATGCTCTTTTCACAGTTTTATTTATACCAACCATCCCAATCCGAGTGTGTCCCATTTAAGTATTTTGAAAATCTGATAACACAGTAACACAATACAATGACAATGACAATACAAACAAAGAATAATAGTTCACTTTATTTAATATTCCCCTAATATGTGGTCTTATACTAGTTCTGTTTTGACAACCCCTTGACAAGTCCAGTGACTGCACCCTCGGTTCCAGGTCTAAAATTCTCATAAATTTTTCCCATAGACTTAACAAAAAAAAGAAAAAAATTAAAAGGTTTGAAAGCTCAGGGATCAGCTATGCGGTAACTAATGACCACAAGACCTATAATTTTATTCAAAAATCTGTTTCTGAAACGCTATAAACTGCTAAGTTGGACATTAGTTGCCACGTAGCTGGTTAACCTCCGCAATGACATTGAACTCTTAATATTTGAATTTAGTTTCTGCAAAAAGTATATAGAAATTTCACTTCCGGAGCAGATTTCTAAATTGGCGGGACTGTGGAGCTCCATTATAGGTAAAACTGACTAATTACTGTACTATTTGTCAGCCTCTGTCATGCTCTGAATGAGTGACAAGTGGATTTAACTAATCATAATGAAGTGTGATCTCTTAGAAGAAGCAGATTCTTACCTCATAAAGCAATGTAAATATGCTAAGATAATATAAGTGCATGAAGAGTCAGAAATCGCCCATCTCTGCTTTTTGCCTTTTGGTTTTCGTTAACAATACTCTTACTCAGATGGCGTCCTCCTGGCCAACTGTTCCCAGCTAAGTGGCTTTATTCTGATTAGCAGCGTGGAATCATCCATACAAATCCAAGCAGCCGCAGCTCATCCGAATAATGTGAAACAAACCTGGGAATGTTTCTCCAGATTCACTGTCCATTTTCACACATGTTGTATTGTTCAACAGAATACAGACTTCAAAGACCCTTCTGGATTCCTCAATACACAGATGGAAAATGTCATCCAGTGTAAATATGCACTTTTTGACAACTCAAATCTTTTTCAAACCTTTTTCATCTCCAAGAAGCACCACTGCACCGCACACTGACGTCTGCGCTATGAACTGAAATTGAGAAAATAAATATGACTCATTTATTTATGTACAACAGGAATTTATTTAATTTATTTAGATTTTTCTCTGCAGGGAACTCTTGTGTTCTTGTGTTGACGTCTTTCAGTGCCCAGTGGCCGTAGCCTCATATTTACTGGTGATTTTGACTCATGGTTTTAACATTTTCACACTTTAATTCATGTTGAGTTTCCATACTTCCTGGGGACATTACATTGACTTGCATTCATTTCCTGGAGACTGATCCTAACCAAAACTATAGTTACTACTCTCCTAATGTAAACCCTAACCGTAACCCAAATCTGAACTTTTAAAGAGGGTGTATTACATTACTATGGGGTATTAATTGCTAACACATAATATATTTAGATCACCATGTTACCTCTAAACCTAAACAACTAAGAAGTTTCATTTTAGTTTCTGATACAAATTTTTGACACTTAGGCAATGTTCAGACTGCAGGCTTAATGCTCAATTCGGAATTTTTTGTGAAATCCGATTTCTTTTGCGAGGTCGTTCACATTTCCTATTAATTGTGACTTCTATGTGATCTCCATTGTGAACTTTAAATGCCCTAAAAGTGTCCCACATGCACATTGGAGGATATGACGATGTCACACACAGCAAGTGTGCTTAGTGTTTACGGAAGTCACCTAAACGCTGAGCTTGTTTCCCAAAATATGGTCCAGTTCTTCATAAAATTAATAGGTTAGACATCCACGGCCACTTTGTTTGTTTGAGTCTTTAGCCTCCTTGTATTTGGCTCACAGGCTTTTTATTTCTTATTAACATTGGAGCCAGAACCACCTGTTTTTTACGGCCATTTCTTCGGTAATCATTTCAAAAACAGCCTGGTTCCATTAAGACCCCTCCAATTTGGCGTAAATACAGAGATCCCCCCAAATATGAATCAACTCGTTAACCTTGATTTCCTTCCATTGACTAGACTCTGAGCCTGACATGCAGGCAAAAATCTAATCTGTGTCATTCAGACTGTCATTAAAAGATCAGATACAGGTCACATAGGGACCAAAAAATCTCATTTGGGTCACTTCAGGGTGCAGTCTGAATGTAGCCTCACAGTACTTTTGCTCTTCATGCTAAGTTGCTCCCCGTTCAGAGCACTATCACTTTACTACTGCTTTAGAAACTACTGAAAATTGCATCAGGTTTGTGAAGCTGTAGTGTACAGTTTTATATCCTGCTTTTGTATATTAATGGAGAATTGTCATGTGGGAGCATGTGTGATATAGGCTCATGGGTTGAGAATTGGACAGAATCTTATCTGCTAACCTTAAAGAAGATTCAAATATGACCAGGGAGAGAAACATGCATGAATGACATCTAAAATCACTTTGAGCATGTTTACAATGAGAGAACAATGTTATTAAAAAAAAAGTACATTTTGCATAATGGCACCTCTTTAAACCATGTTGTTGATCTAATACTAACGTTATGGGGAGCTGATTTTGTCTCATATTAGGAGGCAGGTCCCCATGGCGTGACCGTGTACGCAGATTTCAGCCCCCACGATGTGATAAATACCTGCCCACACACGCATTGACATATCCCTGTAAATGACGTGTGCTCCTGTCTCCTGCACAGTATAATTACTCCTATTCACCTCTGGAGAATCACAGCATGTAAATAAGCACAAATGTCAGTTGCTTATGTCATTTCACGTTGACCTTTCAGGAATAATATTTAGTTTTCTGATGGCAGGACTTTCCCCACGCACGTTTATTTTTGTTTCCTTACTCGTTCTAACATTCGTCCTTGTGTTTTTTTGCAGAGTGACCATGTTCTGGACTGGTGTGAAAAGCACAGACGCTGCGCTCAGGTGAGTAACTTTACTGCATTCACCTCCAGTAGTGGAAGGTAGCGAAGTACTACAGTAAAAGTACGATACTAAAGTACAAATTTTAGGTAGCTGTACTTTACTTCAGTAGAATTTACAGTGAATACTTTTTGCTTTTACTTCACTACATTTGAGAGCAGATATCTGTACTTTCTACTCTACTACATTTTAGATCTAGACTGAAGTAAAGTAAAAAGTACTTTTCTTTATGGTTTGAGACTTCTTGAAATGGTGGAAACTTTATTTTTTTAGTGCATTTAATTCGAGTTAACATCCCAACTTTGTCTGTGTACATTATAACATCCATTGTATATCTTTGTATTTTTATACACTTACAGACTATAAACCAGATATTATGTGTTCTTAATAAAGACTGATTTTAACTGAATTTGAGCAACACAATACACAAAAACATCTAGTCAACTGAATCACTTAAAATCAGCTAAATTAGATTTCAAAATCACTACGTTTTGTCTTGAAATTGTTCTAAAAATCTCTGCAAAATACTTTAAATTTTTATTCTTTAAGTACATTTAAACAGGTACTTTAATACTTTTACTTAAGTAGATTTTTTCCATGTGATACTTTTCCTTTTACTTGAGTGACTCTTTGCCCTTGTGTCTACTTTTACTACAAAACTGAGTACTTCATCCACCACTGTTCACCTCACATACTGTATGTCTACGATAATGAGAGCATAGGCCTGTCACAGTATAGGGACTTATCGTTCAGTATATGTTTTTAGTATTTATCATGTGTACTTTTTCTTAAGAGTAGAGACCTTTTCGTTATTTTTCTGTACTACGATAAGATTTGAGCTGTAGAGGGTTGAATAAATAAGTTCTATGACTCATTATAGAAACAAACTACCTACCAAAGGGTTTCATTCTGTATTTATTTATTTATTGCCGCTCGTGTTTATGCAAAAAGTCATTTCTAAGTTGAAATTACTTGAAAATTTAGATTTGATATTGGACTTGGCAAGTAAAACTATTTACCAATGGAACAAGAGCTTTTGTACTTAAAAACATCATTATACCCCAAATACTCAAAAGGAAAACGGGAGCCCTTTTATAGCATGATTTGTACAACCAAGTAATTCAAAGTGCTTTACAGAATAAGCAAGACATTAACATCACACTACAAACAAATCAAAACATAAATAAAAGAGAAAAGAGTGTGGAATAAACACAAAAACCTTTCACCACTAATGTATTTACCTCACTTAAGTCTATGATAATGAGAGGATAGGCCTGTCATGATCAGTGTTGGGAGTAACGTGTTATAAAAGTAACTAATGTACTGTAATGCATTGCTTTTTGCTGTAATGCAGGAATGTTAGGCATCACAGGGAAAGAAAATGGTAATATTTTACTTGGGATAAATGTCAGTAACGCGCGTTACAATGCTTTTTTAACCTGAATTGAAGTGGTCTTTTTTAATTTTTCTTCATAGAAATTCGCTAAAATCACGGCAATATCAGCAGTGGTGAAACGCCAAAGTTAGTGTTTCGAATGTCGGGATGGGCCCGGAGGTGCGCCCGTGTAGACCGTCGGGTAACCGTGTGTAGAAGGACTGGCACAGAGCTCCACGCCCCACGGGGCTAATCGCAGTTGATGCCCGATCGCTTTGTGGACACCCTACTCCACAGGTTTGGGCTCAGTGGTGGTGCTAGATTCCAAGTCCTAGTCTAAGATTAGTCCTGATTTGGGCCTGGTTTAGTCTTGGTTTAGACATGGTTTAGTTCTGGTTTAGACCTGGTTTAGTTCTGGTTTCTTCCTGGTTTAGACCTGGTTTAGTCTTGGTTCAGTTCTAGTTTAGACCTGGTTCAACTCTGGTTCAGTCCTCAGTTTAGACCTGGTTCATTCCTGGTTTAGTCCTGGTTCTGTCCGTATACGGCGCAAAAAATCTGGCATCTTCGCTCGCTGATGGTTATTTGACAATTAGCAACAGTCATTTTGGTGAAAGTAACTTAATAGTAATGGAAGAGTAGTGTAATGTCTTAAATTTTAAATGCAGTAATATTGTAATTTAACGAATGACTTTGAAATGACAGTAACAAGTCATAAATAACACATAGTTTTGAAGTAACTTGCCCAACAGTGGTCATGATATATGGACTTATCATTAATAATTAAATACAGTATTTTTTTATTGGGGTCAGTATTTCTCATGGGTACTTTTTCTTTGCACTGGTTGAGAGCTTTTTGTTATTTTTCTGTACTACGATAAGATTTGAGCTGTAGAGGGTTGAATAAATAACTTCTATGACTCATTATAGATGCAAACGAAGTAATAAAAGTGTCTCATTCTGTATTTATTTATTGCAGCTCATGTTTACGTAACAAGAGCTTTTGTACTTAAAAAGGGGAATTAAAGACATTGATATACTCAAAATAAGAAAGATGGCTGCACTTTGCACATTAAATAACAAAATAAGTCTGATGTGGCTTGATCAAAGAAAAAATATCTTGTTCCGTTGTATATAATTTTACTTGACAAATCAACTCCAAATCAAGACAGTATGTTCTTAACTGAAGAAATTTCAGCTTGTCTAGAAATTACTTTTTGCTTTGTAATATTATACATTAGGGATGGGACAAGATCTCGTGAGGCAAAATTGCCACAAGACTGTGCACACATGTGGAAAATTATCTTGTGAGATCTTTTCTTCACATTTTTACATTTGCCTTGGATGAAAAAGGGGTTAAGTTTGCTGAGTAACTCCTCTTGAGAAGCTGTGATACTAAAAAGCACTGCTACAATGACAGCAAAAATGTGGAAATAAATAGCAAAAGCAAAAATTACAAACTGAATGCCACAACTTATTTATCAAAAATTATATCGTTTTATCTTGATCTCATGGATTGAATCTCGATACATGTCTCATCTCATAGAAATTGTATCTCCTCCCATCCCAAGTATGCACATATGTATAATCCTGCTTTAGAGTTATTGTGTCTGTGGCATAAGTTGGTTTCAGTATTATGGATATTATTACTCTGTTTTACGCCTCCAACCCCATCAAAAAACGACTGCGCGCAATCCAGAGCGCCCTATACACGAACCCACTCTTGTGTTCCAGCACGACTTCAGTAAGCTACAAAGCTGCACCACTCACAGTGCACACAAACACACGGAGCAGACAGCGACTGCGCAGCGAAAAACACCCCCAGCCACACTCATCACTCTACGTGGACGAGGAACGGAACGGAGGAATGAAGTGCAATGTGCCACTTCTAGCCACAACTGAACAACTGAGTCATTGCGAACACGCCGACAATCCAGCGGTCCCAGACAGCACCCTCCCTACACGCCACAATTTAACAAAGCCGAGAGTCACCGTGAACGTGCCAAACAAAGTCTGACTGACCCATCCAACTGTTGTGTTTCGTATAAAGTCCAGTGCGGCTTATTTGTGAAAAAAGTTCGAAAATAGACCATTTAATGACAGTGCGCCTTATAATCCAGAGCGCCCTATAGTGCGGAAAATACGGTATTTCTCATCTATATTTACTTCAGCAGTATACCATACTTCAAAAACTATTATCATAACAGGCCTGTGAGAGGTCTGTGAGTTCGCTGTCTGGTCTAAAGACAGGACAGCTGATAATGTTAAGTGCTCTTCTGACTAATGGCTTTGAAATATAAAGAAACACTTGAATCCCACTCTCTCCATGTTGACATTTCGTCCTTGTCCCCCTCACCCGACTTTCCTGTGTCCTGGAGCTGTGTGAGTGATGAGGTCATTGGCATAGAACAGCAGCCATGTCTGTGTCAATGAGTCTCAGGTCAACTGTGGTCTATTAAAGTGCAAAAGCTTAAGTGCTGTTGTCAAATAAAATAAATAATAAGGTGCAGACATGATAAAAGTGTGATAAGAGGGTTTTACAAGGATTTTTTGTGCTTCTGAAGTAGAAATCCTGTTCAAGCTTGCAAGATAGGTTTATTTCCTTTTAATGCCTATATTTGTTTTTTCCCCATGTATTTGAGCAAATTTAGTCTTCCCCAAGTATAGATATATTGTATAAGCTTGAGGTCAAAAGAAATCTGCTGTGTGCTGTCAGTATCTAATTTGGAAGCATTTTATTTTCTAATAATCAGGAAGTACATGCTATCACAGAACAAAAAAAAAAGTTGAGAAAAACACATATAAACTAATTATGGTAAATATTTTGAATGTTTGGAATCAGGCCTGTTGAAAGAGATTTGGGGGCCCATGGCAAGTAGTCTAGAGTCCAGTTCTGGGCCCCTAAGACTACATTCAGACTACAGGGTTTAATGCTCAATTCAGATTTTTTTGTGAAATCAGATTTTTTTGTGAAGTTGTTTACATTTCCAATTAAATGCGTCTTGTATGTGATCTCCAGTGTGAACTTTAAATGCCCCAAAAGTTTCCCATGTGTGCACTGGAGGACATGACACACTCAGTTTTTACGGAATTAGTCTAAACGCTGGGCTTGCCTTCCAAAATACGGTCCAGTTCTTCGTAAAATGGACAGGTTACACGTCCATGACCGCTTCGTTTTTAGCCTCCTTGTATTTGGCTCGCAGGCTTTTTATTTTTTGTTGATATTGGAGCCAGGACCGCCTGTAGCCACATTCGGACATTTCTTTGGCAATCATTTCAAAAACTGCCCGGTTCCGATAAGACCCCTCCAATTTGGCCTGAATACAGCGACCCCCCCAAATATGAATTAACTCGCTGACCTCGCTTTCCCTCTGACTGACTAGACTCTGAGCCTGACGTGTAGGTGGGATGAATGCGACCTGGCCGTTCATACTGAAGTTACATGTCAAAAGATCAGATATGTATCGGTTTTAGGACTACATATCCTAGTGGCCTGAGTCGCATTTGAAACAATCAGATCTGTGTTGTTCAGACTGTCATTAAAAGATCAGATACAGATCATACAGAGGCGAAAAATCGGATTTGGGTAACTTCAGGCTGCAGTCTGAACGTAGCCTTAAACAATGGGAGA